TTTTATTTCTTTCGCTTTTAAAATAATATATAAATTCATGAAGTTAAACAATTAATAAAAATTTTTTAAAAATAAATTATTTTTGAACGAGTGATATATATAATATATAGGCCTATTTTAAAATATGAGCGAGATTGCGGTATACGAATTTAAAATGAATAACTTTATAGCATTTTATTTTATACGCATTAATTTTCATTGTATGATATATGAATCTAAGTCTTAATTGTTGGCCAACCAACATAATAACCTTATTGGTCTGGAATCAGGACAGTTAGTTCGTAGTATAGTATCTAGATAACAGCACTATGCTTAGCTGCATCTCTACATGAGTAATATTGTGGTAATTTACTACGATAGAATATTCTATATATAGTAAATGTTAAAAAATTCTTCGAAGCAATTTTTTAATAGTTAAAACGGGATAATCCGGGACATTTTTCCAAGCCGGAACAGAGTCAAAGCCGGGACTGTCCCGGTTAATTCGGAACGTCTCGTCACTTCAGGTTTACCGAATAATATGACCCACGTCTGATATACTTGTATTTGAATGTCCTTTCTTGAGTTTGAGACCCTGGTCTACAGCAACATGACACGTGGGCGATCTGCCGAAGGAGAATGCCTCTCGGGAGGTGTTTTTATGGGTAACTGATCCCTATTTAGGTGTTACCAACGTGAAGAAAAACTGGAAAACTCCACTTAGCCAGCACTTTGGCCAGATGCGAACCCACGACCAGTGTTCAGTGGTTTTGTCCACTTTGCCACTGGTAGGTATTGGCATCGATTGCTTTGTTCTTGGATCGCCTCTCCCGTGACTGGCAGATGCAAAGTTCACCTGTTTATGACCACAAGTACAATGATTACTTTTTCTGTGTATAACAAGTTTAAGAATCGCTTTCTTTCCGGTTCCGCCTCAATTCTATCGCAAACACGACAAAGTCCCGAGATGTCCTAGAAATAATAATTATTTGTTTTTCTAAAATATATAATTATCCGTATTCATTCACTGTATATGTAATTATGACAAGAAATACGCACTAATTGCAATTTAATGGCACCATAATCGAGCGTGGTAACGGGAGCCCAATTTATATTTAATCTAACAAGCAATAGCGTAAGGAGTCGCGTTACAAGTGGCTCGTTCTGTTGCCAAATACGGTTTATACATAATGCCAAATTACTCATTATTATTTAGTGAAGAAGAAAAGGCCTCTTGCATATTATATCTCAGATCCACAACAAGGAAATTATAATTCTTATTCCACTTAATTTAATTTACACAGTTAATAATATTAAACATCTTTCAAAAGGCGCAAAACAATATTCAAACAATATCTCAATTCTTCAAAGAAATTTCCATTGTTGGCTTAGAGAGTAGTGTAACTGGACCAGACATTAGGGACTCTGACTTAGAACGTTCAAACTTTTATTCTTGCAAATTCTTACTTTTTTTTTAAATTAAAAGTATTTTATTAACTATATGTAAATAAATATTTAATTATTTAAATGACAGGATTATTTCTTCACTATACGTATGCATCCTGCCATTGGAGAGAAGCTGATCTGTGTTTAGCGACGTTAGCAGTTTATGGAAACGTCTATGGGATAGTACCTAGCACAGAGGACGAACTTAAAGTCTTTTGTCGGTAAACATTGCATAAATAATGTCAAAAATGATATTTTTATCATTTTATTACTGATATAGATTATTAATAAAAATAATATAACGAAGGAATATCAAAATACTTTAGAATATACTTAACTTTTTTATTTTCATTTCATTGCGATGAAATATTTTCATTTAAAATACAAAAATTTACATTTTATTTGAATTGCATCTGAAATTGTTTTTAGCTATATGAAGGAATCGCATGATTGTATCAGAGATTTTGCTCAACAATGCCTGACAGATGATTTAATCGACACTGGCTACGTACTCGTCGAATCAACTCATCTTTCTTATGGTAAATTCTGTAGAAAAGGTTCAGAAGAACAAAAAGGTAAGTTTTAAACTTCTATGATCATTACTCTTGTACAAAAGTTTGGATATTTAACCAAGAATACTAAAAATGCAAGTCAAATTTGACGATGATTTATGTTACTAAATAAAATTGTGTTACTCGTATTTTGGTAGAGCTGAGTGACCGAGAGAATAAGGTCACTGAACACTGGCCCACGAGCGTTTCACCAACGAGATGTTCAAATGAAGTTTTCCGTCTTTTCTTCATGTGTCTAACACCAAAGTAGTTACATACCCATAATTCATAAAAAAAACTCTGCAAAATACGCTCTCATGACAACACCTAAATTGGTGTCATATTCAAATAAAAAGACCTATGAAGAGGCATTCCCTTGGCAGAATCGCCAAGGTGTTTCGCTATCTTACTTCATCAATCATCATCAATTAGTATTAATATACTAACTTGTACATTAATTTGTTTTGTTTAGTTTTTTGCCAAGTGCTCCTGTCCTAGCCCATAAGAATATGATCACTATAATTTTATGTGTTGCAAAACATTGTCACGTAAAAAATTTAATTTAAACTAATAAAATTTATTAATTTATTATTATTATTATTCAGAATGGCTTAAGAAGTCCCCTTGTGTGGCCGCACACTTTAATCTAACAAGACCGTGCATCGAATACGCTTTGGCAGGCATAGAAAATTTAGGAGTAATTTCTAACAAGGATCGTTATCCGACGTTATGTTGGTACGTAACGTTTCTTTTGCTTTCCTGATACTTTATCTTTTAAAATTGTTTATCGGCTACTTACAAAACTTTCTTATTAAATCAAGAACTTATAATTTTATAATTTTAATTTTTTTAGTGTTTTTAATAACATCATGCAATGCATTAGCGAAATAATAAACGAAAACTGTGAAGGTAGTTCGGAAGATATGGTAACGACAATGATGAGAAACATCTTGAGTGATATTCCTATTGTAGCGTGTAAACCGTTCAAACCAAAAAGCAAGAAATGCCTCAGTCTTCTTCCGCCTCCCAATAGCAAATCGAAAGGCAAAGATTCGGATTCTCAATTAGTTCAATTATTGGCTGAATTTTTGAGTGTTTGATTCATATTTTTAAACACAAAATGTTTATATGTTCAAGTATATTAACTAAGAAAACAATATCTAAACATAAATGCCAATTTTTCTAATCAATAACATTACCGAATGATTTTCAATTTATATACGTTCATCTCATACATATGTATTATCTTTCGGAATACATAAATCTATTGTTTTCCTNTTTCAAATATTTTAATTATTAAATGACAATTTGAAAGTTCTAAAAGTTTTTATACAGTCGAGAGGAGGAAAACTGTTTTAATGAGAAGAACTCGTTTGACAAGTTTAACTCTGCATTGTCATTCCGAAATCGCAAATTTAATTTTAGAACAGCATAGAGATAACAACTGCCGCTAGGCAATAGACTTGAAATACATTTGTAAATATAAGTTAATAGAGTAATAGAGACATTTCTATTATATGAACGTTTGGTAATCAAAATTTGTTATTTGGGTAGAAAATAATTAGTTATTTATCGCGAGGTACCAGTAGCCTATATTGCAGGTTATACAGCAGGATGCAAAAAATGAAAACTTCAGACAAAAATTATATAAGTATAGTGTTTAACAATAAATATAATGTTCTGTCAAACCTGCCATTTCTAAACAGAGATTATTGTTTTACGGGTTTTCTTTTAAATGGCCATTATTTTGTTTGCATTTTAAAATGTTTTCATCAATGGCCATTGTTCAGAGGTTTGACTGTATAAAAATTACGTTTAATTTGTCTAATTAATACATTTTGTACAAAAATAACAAATACATGCTAAAGATTTTTTGCTGTATGGAAAATAGTCGATTATTTATATATTAATATTCGTTAAAAATTAATCGAAAACATTTAAAGACATGTAAATAAAATACACACAAGAACATTGCATCCTAAAATTAGTTTTATTATTACTTTCTTTTTTATATGATTTATATAATTATCTTTTGCCTAGTTACATAATGTACAGTACTGTACAGTACCATCATTGTTATTGAGTGGCATCAGGAAATTAGAAATGAATCTTTATATTATAGTTATCAGTTGACATTCTAACCTTTACTAAGGAGGCGAGTGATTCTAGTATTAATGCTAACAACCAATATAAATCTCCAGGAGATGATCTACTCATTAATGAAACTGTTAAATTATACTGCGTGCAAATGTAAACACTTATTTTTTTTAACATTCTTGAAATCGTATCGGTATTTTTTCCTTTGTTCAAACACGATGTAGTGTAATCACTTATTCTTTTTACTTATCCAACATCTTTTTAGACAAAAAGTACAAACAATATTACAAAAATAGTTTTTTATATTTTTACCCTAGATCTGGAGTTGGATGTTTGGGAAATATAAATTTCTTAAAACTATTTTATTCATACAAACACAGTGAAAAAGTTAGAACTTACTTGGTTTATTCTATTAAAAGTAACAAAAGAAAGAAAAAAACAACACACCAAAAACGTTAATATTGGGTTTGGGATGATTTTTTAAAAAATTTTCGAACAAATACGTTTATTTTTTGGTAAAATACCGCACGAGTAAAAGGAATTTCATAACTTAAAAGCTTTTTGAGATATGGAACCATCCCTTTAATATCTTACGAAGTAATGGGCCGATTTTCCTGAAAATTTCTAGAAATATTTTTCCCTGACACACAAATCATCCTGAAAAATTTTTAAAAATGTCGATTAAAGACACAGGAGTTATTCTTTCCTCCAATTTTAATTTATATTATATATAATTATTATTTAGATTTTAATAAAATGCTAAAAATTAATCAAAAATTAACGTAGAAAATGCATGATTTTGTTATCATTCTTCACTACATTCTTCTGAAAATAAAAATTATTTTTATTATTAATTTTTTTATTTAGAAAAGAATAAAGAGTAGACGTGTGTGTTGCTGATGGAGAATTTCATTCAATGTCGCTTTAACCTTGACAAGTTTCTATGTGTTTTAAACTGGTTAGCTGGCAACTATCTGTTTAGTTTCTTAAAAGTAATTTTTCAAGTGCGACATAAACATGCGTTTAGAAACTATTACCTTTTCTACATTCGTTTTAATCGGTAAGTTTTATTTAATTTTTTGCTATTAAATATAAATTTTAAAGAAAATAGATGAATAAAACAAATACTTAAACATATATTGTAAATATATAATTGAGGAGGAGCCTTAAGGCAGCTTGTATGTGGTTTAGAAAATTGGGTTCATTCTCAAAATTTGATGGACCGATTTTGATAAAACTTTGCCATTTTCTATTGATTGCGATAATCCAGAAATGTAATATAATAAAAAATAAGGGTCCATGGTTTCGTTTTCGATATAAAGTTAGGTCAAAGTGACAATGTCCGTGCTGTTTGAGCACGTCTAACAGAATTTAGGGGTTAAATAAAAAACAGCGTTGCGTGCAGCTAACAGAAAATAAACAGAAAAAATAAAACAGAACACAAGAAGAAAGCAATTAGCTTCAATTGCTTTTAGTTTGGGTTTTATTCGTATACAACAGGGATCACAAACTTGTGGACTGTGGGCTGGATACGTCCCGTTAAGATTTCATATACGGGCTGCGGCGTTGATGATTTCTTTTTTAAAAATCGATGTTTCTAACAACTTGTTCGATTTTTTTTCTGTTTTAATTTCCATGTCTGACTGTTTATGTAAGTGGTAAAGGCCTAGCAACAAAATAGCCCTTTTTTAAATTACAGTATGTTTTGGTTTACTAAAGTGACCAGATTTTCTGAACTTCAATCCAGGGCGCTCTAAAAATTGAAAGTAAGAAATGTAGGTTGTGAAATTATTTAAATGATTTCGTTGCTTAATAATGTTGTCGAAAATATCAGAGGTGGAAAACCGATGGCACACGTGCCCAAATTGATTGGCACGTAAGGAGAAATCATCTGGCACGTAATCATCATGTAATTTCGATTTATCATCAGTCTTTTTCAATCATCCTTTTGGCTTATCATCTGATCATTCTGTTTACATTTGTTTTAATTAAAGCATATTCCTATAATTTTTTAAAGTGTCGTTATTAGAAGAATAAAACTTTGGAATGCATAAACGTCTTTAAAGCTAAGTATGTTTACAATACGGCACGTGGGCTCAAAAAGTTCGCCATCCCTGAGTTTATATCAATGACTAACTTTACGGGACATTTTCTTTTTGGCAGTGCCACCTCATATAGTGTTCTTTTTTTTGAATGAAAATTTAATATAAGCAAAATTTAATTTATTTTTTTTTATTTCTTTCGCTTTTAAAATAATATATAAATTCATGAAGTTAAACAATTAATAAAAATTTTTTAAAAATAAATTATTTTTGAACGAGTGATATATATAATATATAGGCCTATTTTAAAATATGAGCGAGATTGCGGTATACGAATTTAAAATGAATAACTTTATAGCATTTTATTTTATACGCATTAATTTTCATTGTATGATATATGAATCTAAGTCTTAATTGTTGGCCAACCAACATAATAACCTTATTGGTCTGGAATCAGGACAGTTAGTTCGTAGTATAGTATCTAGATAACAGCACTATGCTTAGCTGCATCTCTACATGAGTAATATTGTGGTAATTTACTACGATAGAATATTCTATATATAGTAAATGTTAAAAAATTCTTCGAAGCAATTTTTTAATAGTTAAAACGGGATAATCCGGGACATTTTTCCAAGCCGGAACAGAGTCAAAGCCGGGACTGTCCCGGTTAATTCGGAACGTCTCGTCACTTCAGGTTTACCGAATAATATGACCCACGTCTGATATACTTGTATTTGAATGTCCTTTCTTGAGTTTGAGACCCTGGTCTACAGCAACATGACACGTGGGCGATCTGCCGAAGGAGAATGCCTCTCGGGAGGTGTTTTTATGGGTAACTGATCACTATTTAGGTGTTACCAACGTGAAGAAAAACTGGAAAACTCCACTTAGCCAGCACTTTGGCCAGATGCGAACCCACGACCAGTGTTCAGTGGTTTTGTCCACTTTGCCACTGGTAGGTATTGGCATCGATTGCTTTGTTCTTGGATCGCCTCTCCCGTGACTGGCAGATGCAAAGTTCACCTGTTTATGACCACAAGTACAATGATTACTTTTTCTGTGTATAACAAGTTTAAGAATCGCTTTCTTTCCGGTTCCGCCTCAATTCTATCGCAAACACGACAAAGTCCCGAGATGTCCTAGAAATAATAATTATTTGTTTTTCTAAAATATATAATTATCCGTATTCATTCACTGTATATGTAATTATGACAAGAAATACGCACTAATTGCAATTTAATGGCACCATAATCGAGCGTGGTAACGGGAGCCCAATTTATATTTAATCTAACAAGCAATAGCGTAAGGAGTCGCGTTACAAGTGGCTCGTTCTGTTGCCAAATACGGTTTATACATAATGCCAAATTACTCATTATTATTTAGTGAAGAAGAAAAGGCCTCTTGCATATTATATCTCAGATCCACAACAAGGAAATTATAATTCTTATTCCACTTAATTTAATTTACACAGTTAATAATATTAAACATCTTTCAAAAGGCGCAAAACAATATTCAAACAATATCTCAATTCTTCAAAGAAATTTCCATTGTTGGCTTAGAGAGTAGTGTAACTGGACCAGACATTAGGGACTCTGACTTAGAACGTTCAAACTTTTATTCTTGCAAATTCTTACTTTTTTTTTAAATTAAAAGTATTTTATTAACTATATGTAAATAAATATTTAATTATTTAAATGACAGGATTATTTCTTCACTATACGTATGCATCCTGCCATTGGAGAGAAGCTGATCTGTGTTTAGCGACGTTAGCAGTTTATGGAAACGTCTATGGGATAGTACCTAGCACAGAGGACGAACTTAAAGTCTTTTGTCGGTAAACATTGCATAAATAATGTCAAAAATGATATTTTTATCATTTTATTACTGATATAGATTATTAATAAAAATAATATAACGAAGGAATATCAAAATACTTTAGAATATACTTAACTTTTTTTATTTTCATTTCATTGCGATGAAATATTTTCATTTAAAATACAAAAATTTACATTTTATTTGAATTGCATCTGAAATTGTTTTTAGCTATATGAAGGAATCGCATGATTGTATCAGAGATTTTGCTCAACAATGCCTGACAGATGATTTAATCGACACTGGCTACGTACTCGTCGAATCAACTCATCTTTCTTATGGTAAATTCTGTAGAAAAGGTTCAGAAGAACAAAAAGGTAAGTTTTAAACTTCTATGATCATTACTCTTGTACAAAAGTTTGGATATTTAACCAAGAATACTAAAAATGCAAGTCAAATTTGACGATGATTTATGTTACTAAATAAAATTGTGTTACTCGTATTTTGGTAGAGCTGAGTGACCGAGAGAATAAGGTCACTGAACACTGGCCCACGAGCGTTTCACCAACGAGATGTTCAAATGAAGTTTTCCGTCTTTTCTTCATGTGTCTAACACCAAAGTAGTTACATACCCATAATTCATAAAAAAAACTCTGCAAAATACGCTCTCATGACAACACCTAAATTGGTGTCATATTCAAATAAAAAGACCTATGAAGAGGCATTCCCTTGGCAGAATCGCCAAGGTGTTTCGCTATCTTACTTCATCAATCATCATCAATTAGTATTAATATACTAACTTGTACATTAATTTGTTTTGTTTAGTTTTTTGCCAAGTGCTCCTGTCCTAGCCCATAAGAATATGATCACTATAATTTTATGTGTTGCAAAACATTGTCACGTAAAAAATTTAATTTAAACTAATAAAATTTATTAATTTATTATTATTATTATTCAGAATGGCTTAAGAAGTCCCCTTGTGTGGCCGCACACTTTAATCTAACAAGACCGTGCATCGAATACGCTTTGGCAGGCATAGAAAATTTAGGAGTAATTTCTAACAAGGATCGTTATCCGACGTTATGTTGGTACGTAACGTTTCTTTTGCTTTCCTGATACTTTATCTTTTAAAATTGTTTATCGGCTACTTACAAAACTTTCTTATTAAATCAAAAACTTATAATTTTATAATTTTAATTTTTTTAGTGTTTTTAATAACATCATGCAATGCATTAGCGAAATAATAAACGAAAACTGTGAAGGTAGTTCGGAAGATATGGTAACGACAATGATGAGAAACATCTTGAGTGATATTCCTATTGTAGCGTGTAAACCGTTCAAACCAAAAAGCAAGAAATGCCTCAGTCTTCTTCCGCCTCCCAATAGCAAATCGAAAGGCAAAGATTCGGATTCTCAATTAGTTCAATTATTGGCTGAATTTTTGAGTGTTTGATTAATATTTTTAAACACAAAATGTTTATATGTTCAAGTATATTAACTAAGAAAACAATATCTAAACATAAATGCCAATTTTTCTAATCAATAACATTACCGAATGATTTTCAATTTATATACGTTCATCTCATACATATGTATTATCTTTCGGAATACATAAATCTATTGTTTTCCTCTTTAAATTCTATAAAAATAACTATATGTTATATTAAATTTTATTGAATTATTGTTTCTGTTAATTATTTTTTAATGGGAAAGCTTTTCATGTATTTTTATGGTATTTAACAAAGAAAAATTTCATAATTATGATTATCTATCTTAATTAAAGTATTTATATTCTGGTTTAAAATATAGTAGAAGACTTAGCTATTATTTAATATATAAAACTAATAACATTATTTGACATATTGTATAAGTTTTAAATGACTTTTGTTTTCAATTAGGAATAATTTAAAATAAGCTGATTATAACAATTAAGAATTATTTTTGTGACATCACAATGTCGTCACAATCGTCACAATGTCGGACTGCAATTTTTAATCATATTTTTAATTAATTTAATTTAAAATATATGCTCTCCACCTCATATTAGTAGTGGCTTGCCCCTGTACATCATACTTTTCCTTTAACAATAAGGTCGTTCCGCTCGTCTAATACTTTTCAGCGGAAAATGTTTGAATTAAAATAACGTGACTTCCAGTTTTCATCAGAAGTTCGTATATAATTAATCGAGATTGCCTAAGATTTTCATATCAGGTCTTGCATTTCATCTTTCTAACTTCATTCTCAAGATTAAGGAAGGACAGGTAGACAACCGAACAGACGGATGGACAGTGGAGATTTATAGGTGTACAATTTTTTCAAATTTCAGTCGAATAAATAGATTTTTACTTACTAAAATGAAACCTGTATAACCGAAATCGTAACGTTCTGAAGTTTCTCGACGTTTCCGTTTATTCAGGTTTCCTGTAGATAGGGATTATGTGAATTTTTTCTTAGAAAAGTCAACCACATTTCAATTTTATCATTTAATTTGTTAAACGAGCAGAAAAACTTAAATTTTAGTGTCAACATTTGGAACTTTCAAAACCAGTTTTCTAGTAAATAGATAAGTTTTTCTTTATATAGGAAAATTGATTAATTGAAACTAAGAAAATTATATCGCCAGATTTTAATCAGTCTGTAATTTGGATAATTAATTATAGATATTAAGTAATTTGGGCTAAAAGTAGATACTTAAACCGCCAGCTTCTGATAGATTTAATAATTCGAAATAGATTAATTAATTTAGAATCGGTGAAGACACAATAGTAATGGAGAGAGCCTTAAGGTTTTGCGGTGAAGCCAATGGGTAGCATATTGGAAACACTAAAGTAGAATGATCTCAAACTTACTGCAAAGGAAATTAATATATTAAACATAAAATTATTTTGTGTATACATGAGCTACAAGAGGTAAAAGATAATTAATATTTAATGGGTATCTGTATCTTATCTGTATTGTTTTACTATAAATATGATTAAAGAAACAGTAATAATAATATTTGAGAAGTTCAGGTAAAATGCCCTTTGAAAATACGAGGAGTTCCTAAAAGCATATATAACTACAGCCATCGTTTTGTTGCGCATTAAAGTATACATAGAACCCGTAAGACTCGAGAAAATGATCGATAATCTCAGTCACATTCCAAATCTGATCCATCAGTTCCATCGTTAACAAACATAAAAGTTTCCAATTTGCCATATGCATCAGTATCATCGAAGGTCTGAACAACAGTTGTGTAATAGGGCTTTTCTAATTCGTAAAAGTCTTAACAGATTTGCAAAGGAGTGCATTTCAGGAAGAGCCATCGAGAAGGAAAGCCGCACATTTCTTTGGGTCTAAGAAAAATTGTTTAGACCCGAAGAAATCTTAGATACCGTTGTTATTTTTATTTCTGTAAAATTAATATTATTTTACCTAATAGAAAATAAAATCTTTAAAATTAATTTTTATTAATAAAGAATTACGCACTTCATTCGTTCCAAAAATAAATGAAAATAGTTAAAGGGGTCCGATAAGTAGCAAAAGGAATCTCACTCTGCTTTCAGGGTCCGGGGAGCTCTGAATTGTCCTGCTCCAGGAGTACCTTCCATTGGAAATTGGCCCATATTTAGGTGTTAGACACGTGAACAAAACCCAAGAAACTTTCAGGTGCAAACCAGTGATCACGCGGAGTACAACTAATTCGTGATGTTATCCACTTGGCCACTTGTAAGAACTATAAGTGTATTTGATTAACAAACATATAAATGTTAGATTGCTTAAAAGTTTTTAAAACAAGCTGCCTTTTTAACATAATAGTAAAACTAAGTAGTACAACTGAGTAATTTTTACAGGATAAGTAATCTTTCGTGTAGACTTCAATATGAATACGTACAAAATTAAGCAACATAAGGTCTTTTTTAAATTTTTTATTGACCAATAAACAACCTTGAGTTACAGTACTTGTTTCGATCTTTATACTCAACTTCAGTCGCCTTATTAAATTACGATAGACCTTTCTTAAAATTATTTATAATTTGAATCTTAGAAAGAATTTAATTTAAATTACAAATTCCTTATTTATATGAATAAATATACGTCAAATTATCTGTCTAAATAAATTGCTAAACATATTGCATCATAAAGGAAAAATAACATGTAATGTAAAGGAAGTGTCACTTTTAAAATATTGCATACGTTTAATTTGTTAATTAATTATAAAAACGGTTTTAAACTGAAAATGAATTTAAATGAATGAATGAATAAAACTGAACAAAAACGCCTAATTCACTGGAATGATTAATTTATGACTTTTTAAAAAATAACTGCATAAATAATATATTTATTTATGCTATTAATCATTTGTAATGTACAGTACATTGATTGATTATTATTTTGTGTTATAATCGTTTTAATATTTAATTTTCTAATACATGAAGGAAAAGTATCATAAAATAAAACAATTGATGGCATTTACCAGAAAATAAGACATATCTTTTTGAAAAAAGTTTAAATCTTGGCAAATGTTTCAAGGTTAAAATCAATAGGGAGAAAGAAAATTACTTCTTTATATCAAAATAATATTCGTTTTTGAAACTTTTTCAGCATTTGATATAAAACATTTACGCATTTTATATAAATTCTGTTTACTTTTTAAGATGTTTTAAATCATATTTAATGAGAATATTTTGATTCGGTTTAATAAAACTCTACAAGACTACTGATAATTACAGAAAATATAAAATAAACTATAAATAATTGATTTTACTAACTTTGTTTTCTGTACTTCGTGGAAAACAAGGTTAAGAATTATGAGTTAAGGTTACCTTAAAGCAACTTCTAAACTTGATTACAAAATAAGTATAATCGTTTACGACATCGCTTCCTTATGTAAAAATAGAAGAATGAAAAACATATACAGGAAAATTTGATAATATATTAATATTATTAATGTTGCTATGTTATTTTAGTATATCATATAAGCAGATTTGAACAATTTGACAAAATCTTCTATCTTCTTATACCTTGCTTTTACGAGTTTACCATAGTAGTACTATTATTTTTGTTAACTATTTTAACATTTCTGTGGTATAAACTAAATCATGGTCGAACGAATCGGAGAAACACAAAGGGCAACTATCTTTTATTTATTTTTTTTTATTACAAATAGGAAATGACCGAAGACAAATGCTTTCCACCCCCGAAAACAAGACAATATCTCAAACACAAGTAACAATTAATAAAAATTTAAACAAATGATTTCTGAAATTCGAAAAAAACAAAGGTTCGTTTTAATTAGATTATTGATTAAATCGCATAATTTCTAAGATTAACGAGATAATTTAATTTTTCTTACGATTAAAATATCAGGTTTTTGTAGAAGGGGTTCTGAAATGTAAGCAATCGTAAAGTGCAAAAATAGCCAAAAATGCTGTATTTTTTCTGCATCCAGAATTGCAGACGCTCCTAGAAAAAACTATTGTGACTAGAAAGTTCAAAGTTTAAACTTAAGCCTCTCTCGTTATCAGTCAAGTGCTGGAAAAACTTCCGGGTCGATAGATCAAAGTTTACGAGGGTTTCTCATAGAGCTATTTTACTTTTCTATACTACATCTCATATGTTTTTATTTGGATTTTTATATTACTGCACGAATAATGTACAAGACCTTCTAAAAATGACTGTAGAAATAACATATATATAGGCCTATAGGCCTATATTAATATATGCGGTCAATTATTGAAAGTATATCTTCAAGCCGCTTAAATTCTAGCATACAATATCGAAACTATCTCAAAGAAAGTCGAGTTATTCTTTGATTTTTCGTTCGTTACAAGTTTATCACCTGTAAAACCGAAACGATAAATCTGTTTCTGTCACTATTCTAAACAAACTAGATTCATATTTACACATTCTAATTGAACGTACAAATATGAACCTAGTTTGTTTAGAATAGTGAGTGACAAGTGACACGTACTCTATTGCAGCTACACGTTAAAAAGTTTATCTGATATCAAGCTATTGTTATTCAAAGTCCTATCAACCTAATGCACTTATACTTGATAAATGTGCCTCACTAAGTGTTGCAAATTACAAAAAACTTCATAACTGTTTAAATAGAGGACGGTAAAAACTTATCTTTAAATTTTTAAATCTTTGGATTAAAATTCCTAAAACTTATGTGAGCCGCCAGGGAGGTCGGAAATTCCTCTGCTTTCCGGCAACAGATCGGTGACCTACTTTCTTGTCAAGGATGGCGTTTACGTTCTGTTACGCGTTACGCGTTACGCGAGTGGAGGAGAGTCAGAGGGGTAGACGATAAGACGATGACACAGTCGAATAAAAACACCATTTTTAAACAAACAAGAAGTTTATTTAACTAACTGACGAAATTAAAATTACGAAACTCCTTCTAATTCGCGTATGAGAGAAAAAGTTTACAATAATATTCCATACCTCGGGGGAAGTATCGGATGGATAATTCTTCTCTGATCGTCCCGAAAAGAGGTGCGAGATGTGGCACAAGATTTCCAATTAAGGTCATAAAGCAAGGAAGGTAATCAAGATAATGTTCGCCGTTTTCCGTCCGATTGGCGACTCCCCCGAGAAGAGAGAAGGATGGCTTTTATACTTTTTGTGGTGGAAAAATTAGTCAGGTGATCAATTGTTTTAGCAGGTGTGGGGTTAATTAAAGGTGTTCCCGGGCTGCAATAAATCGACGAAGTTGGACTTTAACCGTAAACATTAAGTCTTGCAGCAGATGGATGTCATTGTTAGATGTTCGAATGTTTACGTTAAAGAGGAGAATTATAAGTTGATACTTGATATTTTGATATAAATGAGATATTTGATTCCTTTTTTTTTCTGACGATGGGTCTTTCGCGGTAAGGTGATAAATTTAGTTAAAATATGTCAACTTTGTTTAAAGTATTAGGAGGAAAGTGATTTTGAAATGAGATTGGGTTGCACACTGGTTGGATCTCTTATATAATTTTTCAGAATCTATATATAAAATTAAATATTAATGAAAATTAAACATTATTCATATTTTTTATTTTATTTTATGAAAACACTTTCATTTTCCTAATAATTCATACAGTTTAATGCGTTTGTAAATAAATTTTAATTTATTTTTTCCTTTTAAATTAGTATTACGTAGTCCAACATAACGGCAATACGATTTAATGAAAGAATACTTTCTACATAAGATATCGAGGTCAAAGTTTTTAACATGTTGTGCATCTAACAAATATAAACTCGTTACTTTTTTATATTGGACTGCAAATTTGAAAATATTCTACATTAGATTTAAATAAATCACAATTAATTTAAAAGAATAAACGTATTTTATTAAGCAAACACAATTTAAAAAACAGTAAATTAATATTTCGTAATAAATGGTATCAAAAAACACAACAAAATTCCTCCAGCTTGAAACTCACACGCAATATGTTCATTAGAAATACTAAGAACAGATGAGAAAGTAAATGTAAAATATTTCCACGAAATTTGATGTTGTTCATATAACGTTTATAATAATGTTTCTTTTTAAAGTTTTATATAATTTTATTCATACAAATACATGAATAATAGTAAATCCACTGCAAACCTCAACAAAATAATATTTATACTAGCAGTGATATTATAATTTCTTGGATCTGTTTCAAAAACCTTGTTTTTAATTCTTTATTTATTATAATTTAAATTCCTTCTTAGATTATAAAAATAACATACTTCATTTGTAAATTCGAAATTGACATAAATTATAAAATCAAAGTTCAGTTTTAAAATTTATTTCTTGAAAATTGATTGCGAAAACTGAATTTTTCTTGGTAACAAAGTTTAGTTTGCTAACAAGAAATAAAAAACTAAACTTTTACATGAAATTTAGTTTTCAATAAAATTCTGTTTATAAATTGATTTTTAAAAAACACAAATTTTATTCAAAACTGGCAAATCTAATATGAAAAACTTGAAAAATATGCAGGGAAATGAAAAACAATGTTTACATTTTGATTGCCTCAACCTTGAAGTATTATCAAATTGAAATCTTAGTTGCAAATATTGGCCTATATATTTTAATGCATAATTAATAATCGACTACTAGTATTAATGTAACTACACCAATAGAAAATCTTTAAAACAATTTAAAAGTTTTCTAATTGTCAAAATGAAATTTTTGGTCTTCGAAGATTTTAATTTTGAGTAAAAGCTTCGATGTAATTTGCAAAGTATCCTGGTTTATACGTTCTTTTTAAATCGTCTCCTGTGGGTAGAGTTGGGCATGTTTCCGATTCAGCATAGAGCAAGCACATTTCAACGATCCATTCTGAGAAGACGAATTCTACCTGCATTTTCATTAAATCTGCTACTGTACTGCTGCATGCACTTTGAAAGTTGTCTGATACGCAACTTCTCAATCGGCGTAACCCACTGAAAACGTAGTTATAAATTAAAAACTTGGCTTTGAAATTGTTAAACAACAATAACAAACATAATTACCAACAAAATATGAGGAATTTAGATCCAGAAGTGTCTTCCAGTGCGTATTCATAAGAAGCCAAGTTATCTTTAAAGCAAGATGACCAGACTCCAATGTTATTTTTAATGCATTCTGCTTCTTGCAAATAATCTAAAATAAAATTATTAAAATAATTAATACGATTAAATTGTATTTTATGTAAAGTTTGATCTAAATTCCCATTTTTAAAACTTAAAAAATAATATTAGATACTTCGTTAAGAATTAGATTGGATTGATGGTATAAGGCACGCAACAAGTAGTCGACATGCCAAGGGAATGCCTTCCTGGAAGACTTTGTATAAAAATATGGGAAATTGGCCCATATTTGCCTATTATATGCGTCAAGAAAATTTGGAAATTTTCACCTGGCCAACCCATTTGTGAAGAGCTAACTGACAACTAATTCCCAGTTTTTAGTGCGTTATCCACTCGGAAACAAATATCTTTGTGATTACAGTCGACCCCCCTATAACACTGTTGATTATTCCATTTTATATGAATTCCATGTTGTACGAGTTACTTAGATTTTACAAATAAGTGTGCCGGCTGTGAACGGCTCACGTATTTGTAAAATCTAAGTGACTCGTACAACATGGAATTCATATAAAATGGAATAATCAACAGTGTTATAGGGGGGTCGACTGTATTTAACAAATGAATTTATTTAAATTTAAATAAAATTATATACTTTTATAAAATTGTTCGTCCGGATTACAAAAATCTTCCATGTTCTTTCCGGTTCCAGAAAAAGAAAATTCCATAACAATTCTATCCATTGAAGTTTGACAATTTTGACTGAAGTTGTATAAACAATTTCTTAGTTCTTCTAACGCCCTATATTAAACGAGATCGAATGAAAATAAATCATATTATTTGAAATTATTTATATGCTTTTTAATTGTCGAAACCTACCTGCATTGTCCGATCAATTCTTTTTCGTTTGTTGGAAGAACAGTTCCGTAATCTTTAATAAATTTGTGTCTATCCATTAGACATTTTGCTGCAACCTCAAGTCTACACTTTTTGTCGTTGCTTGCTGCCTCTTTAAAACATTTATTAAAAAAGCAAAGTTGAAATTTTATTACATCTTTTATAAACAAATATTATCTATTTATAAACAATTTATCATTTTAAAAAATACTATGAATTTTCTAATAAAAATAGTTTTTCAGCTATTGATTTTTAATTTCCGACTGTTAGGCTATATATAGCAGAAGATAAGTATGGCGATCGATCAAAAAGTGACCACCTCCCAAATTTACATTTTGGATTCAGGGGACCTTGAAACGTCGGGAAATGCAAACAATTCGAGGGTAATTTATGTATGTATGTATGTACAGTACATTACTGTGTGGGGTGCACAAAGCAGTTACTAAGCTTCAAACAAGGTGAAGCAGTTACTAAGCTTCACCCTGTTTGAAGCTTAGTAACTGCTGTGTTTTTTGTCGAAAATTTCGGAAATTTTGCAGGGAGGTTAGTGTATTAGGAATTGGTGCTATTAAATTTTGGTGGTTAAAGGTCGAGAAAGTGAGAGAGATAATCCATCTGGAATCGAGTTTATCTCCAGTAGGGTCGGACTTAATGACTATTTTACTCGTTATTAGCACTTATAATTTTTTGTATAAAACCCATCCCTACGCTCAAAATTAAGCATTTTTTGCCATTTTATAATAGTTAAAAATATAAAATGTTGTAATAAAATATAATAAGAGATGGCACCACCAAAATTTTAAATGTTACCTAGAAAGTTGAGCAACTTGTTGTTGGTTTTTTTTTTTTCTAGATGTTAACACGAAGAACTTCGGTTTTTGTAATATAAAAAGAAAAATGGATTTTGACTAATAATATTTGTATATCACATACTTTCCTAATAAATAATTATCAGAATATTTACCAGTTATCTTTATTAAACCTAATTTTCTTATTTGTAAAGTTCCTTTTTTTTCCGGGTTAGCGAGAGAAGTTTTACTACTAAAAGATTTACGAAGAAACGATCTTTACTTTGTAAATGTTTTAGTAATAAGATAATCTAAAACTAACCTCAGATGTAGAAAATACATCTACAACAACTGATCTTAAGTGATAATAAAAAAGAAAATTTAAATGAATTTATTATATCTATTTCATCATTGAGCGGACAATATGCATCAATAAAACTAAATTTAGTCATTTTTAAAACTAGAATTAAGACAATTTAAACTTTTATACTGCTGACTGTTAAGAATTTATGAGAAATAATTATCGAAAGATATTTAATTTTTATATTAACAACAAATATTAAATTCTAAAAAAAACACTAAAAACAAATATCTTTAGTGTAATTACATTGTGTATGCAATTTATATGAATGTTAAATATTGTTGTAAAAACACAAAATTGTTCTAAAACATGTAAACATAAAACTTGTAACTTGTGAAAACTTGTTCTAAGCTCTATGATTTGTTATTATTAAATACATAATTAAATTTTTTGTAATTTTTTATCAACTTATTTTAATTATAAGTTATAATATTTTAGAGCATATTAAATGTTAATAATTAATTCTACGTTTATTAATTCGGTAGTAACACTGCTATAAATTCTATTGATTCTATTTAAAAACCGAACATTCAAAAACGTACCGAATTCTATTTTTACTCTGAAATTTATTTAATTTTCTGAAAATATAAAAGAATATAATAGAAGAACGGTAAGAGAATGGAAGGAATATGGAGGACGTATGTACTAGAATGCCCACACTGTACAGTACATAAACATGGCTGAAACGATGTCATTGAAAGACCAGAAAAACGCAGTTGAAAAATTTGTTTTAAGCTGAAGATAGTCATACATTTAACGCAAAAGTTTTTAATAACGTTAATTACATAAAGTAAGAAACTGTTTGATTTATTTCTGTATCAAAAAAGCGCCACGTTTTGCCAACTTCTGTGCACATCGCATCGTAGTATAATAATAAATAATTAACTACATATAGACAACCAAATAAATATACTTAAAATAAAAATTTAAATCTAAAAAAATGCAAATTAAAGCATTTACCTATTGAAAAGAAAATAACAAATAAAAAAATGATTTTCATCCTCACTCAATGTGTAATGCAATGTAAGACTGAGCTTAACAGATCTATAGAATGCCAGAAACTAGTTATTAATCGAAAAAAAAAATTCCTTGAAGTTTCTCCTCCTTACCTCTACATTACAAACCAGTAGATGACGTTTCTACTTTATCAATATATATAATGACGTTTAGCATTTCGTTTCGAATATTTTAATTAGCTTTATCTGTTTGTGTTAAAAATTATTTAAAATTTAAAATTGAATGATATTTTTTATACATTTTCCTGCGGAAAAGATCGCCTAACATCAACCCTAAACTCCAATTTTCTTTCATGTCACGTTCACTACACTTTGCGAAGGTTCAAGTTTCACAAGGAAGAATCAAAATAACAACCGTCGATTAGAAAAAGTTGCGTTATCGTTAGTAAGAATTGTCTCGATTTTAATATGGAATAACAGTATTCATTTACTACAGCGATTCTGGATTGAAATCCGTGAAACGACAAAGTCAGAGGAAAAGAAAAAAAAATTAAAAGTTTAGCAGAGAGTGGTTTCGATCCACCGACCTCTGGGTTATGGGCCCAGCACGCTCCCACTGCGCCACTCTGCTTCTTACAAATAATGCGAAGTGTNGTAGATGACGTTTCTACTTTATCAATATATATAATGACGTTTAGCATTTCGTTTCGAATATTTTAATTAGCTTTATCTGTTTGTGTTAAAAATTATTTAAAATTTAAAATTATTTTAATTTATTCGTACAGTCTAAACAGTTTAAATTTATTGAATTAGTTACACTAATTAGTAAATTTTACGTGCTTAAATATCTATAAAATTAAAATAATTAAACATTTATTTTACTATAGAATTTTTCTAGAGAACTGTAGTTTTGTGTAAAAGACATTTTGCATGCTCTACATAATTGGATCAACTTTGGGAGTTTCAATTTAAATCGTACCAGAAAAACTTTGGTTATACTATTCTCTGTAGGTCTTTCTTTCTTAAAATTCTTTCTGACCCTTGTGATCAGATTAAAGTATTTTGTTTTTAAGAGTCTGTTAATCTTTTGTTTAGGGACGTGATTCTTCTGCTTTAAATTTGATTCAACGCTTATGAAGTTTGGGCGCATTTGACAGTTTGTTGCTTTGTTGTTAATATTTTGTCTGTTATAGGTAAACAATATTATTATTATTTTATTTTATATTGGCAAATGTTCTCTAATTTAATTTAATTTAATTTTTCTGATTTTATTCTAATTTTGTAATTTTGTATAGAATGTACAGTCGACCCCCCTATAACGTACGTTCCTATAACGACAATTCCTATAACGTAGCGAAAAAATTGTAGCAACTTTCGTATAAAGTACCTCCTATAACGTCGTTTCGCGACAAGATTGATAGAGTCTGGACCAATAGTGGATGAGCAGCCGAACTACTTTCCTCCGACCCTGCGCCACGCTACGGAGCGGCTAAATTGAGTTTGCTATCGTCTGTTTAGTATTATATATAAATTATATATAAATTAGGTACTGTACATATAATTATATATTAATTATATATAAATTAGGTACTGTATATATAATTATATATTAACTTAATTTATTGTAACTTTATTATAATTATATATATGCTTTCTGCCGCCTGGCAACACGCTACGGAGATTTTAGGCTAGTAAGTTGAGTTTATTATCGTCTGTACAGTATGTAAATTAGGTACCGTAAGTCTAATACAGCACTAATTTTATACATTTCTTGTGAAAGAAACACTTCTTATTCAACGTCCATAAAAATTATTTATATTAATGATGTCTCCAAAGGTCAAGTTATTTTTATGCGAAAAATTCGTTATTAGAAATCGCGGCCGTCGTTTAATGTGCTGTTCCGCGATGAAAACCAGCTTTAAGCAACGGCGTAGTCGAACGGTACACACTCGGTAAGTAATCCTATAATTTTTTGTTTATAGCATAGTTTATACAGATTATTCCCAAAAAATTATACGTATTTTGGAAATGTTGAGTGGAATTAGTCTAGAATCGGTTAATTTTATAGAAGAAAACCTTTCAAACAGCCTTAGTCCGTAAAGTTTCCACCTATCGGGCTGCGATTGGCTCATGTATTTAATCATTCCTACAACGTAAAATTCGATTAGCGTGGAACGTATCTAAGCGTTATAGGGGGGTCTACTGTAGTTAATATTAAATATTTTGTATTTATAAAACTTCTTTTTCAACACATAAGCTTCATTGTAGTTGCAGAATATTTTTCGTTCAGTTTATTAACGAATGCTCTGAAGAATGAGAAGTTTCGGCATTAAACAAGCCATTTGAATTCACGATTCTCCATTGGTGATCTGGAAATGACAAGCTAGTTTTCTTTATATATATATGTATATTCGTAGGGCATTTAATCAAAACTTATTTCATTTCCGAATTGGAATAGTTGGTCTAAGAAAATTCTGTCAATTGCTTTCCCATACCTAGTTAAGGCATTGGACAAGATTAGTGACGTGTGTCAGATTCCGACACGTTAACTTTATATTTCAGCATTCTCTCATTAGCTTGTATGGAGCATTGCTTGTTACAAGTAACCAAATCTTCTCATACGGAACGGCAAGTTTCCAATTCGTCATATGTATCAGCATCATTGAAGGTCTGAATAACAATTGTGTAATACGTCTTTTTTAATTCGTAAAAGTCTGAACAGATCTGATAAAAGAAGGGCGTTTCAGGCAGAGCAATCGAGAAGGGAAACTGCACATTTTACCTCAAATTCGAAGACAACTTAGAGACCGTTGTTGTTTTTATCTCTGTAAAATTAATATTATTTTTATTAACACAAAATAAAATCTTTAAGATTTCATTACTTTTTATTAATAAAGAATTACGCACTTCATTCGTTCAAAAAAAAAAATCAAAATCGATTCCACTTTATTTTCAGGACCAATGGAACTCTAAATTCTACTGCTCCAGGAGTACTTTCCATGGAAAATTGGCATATATTTAGGTGTTAGACACGTGAACAAAACCAAAAAACTTCACGTGCAAACCAGTGATTACGCGGAGTGTAACTAATTTGTGATGTTATTCACTCGGCCACTTGTAAGAACTATAAGTGTATCTGATTAGCAAACATATAAATGTTAGATTTGATTAAAAGTTTTTAAAACAAGCTGCCTTTTTAATATAATATTAAAACTGAGTAGTACAGCTGAGAATAAGTAATATTTCGTGTAGACTTCAATATGAATACGTAGAAAATTAAGCAACATAAGGTCTTTTTTAAAATTTTTATTGGCCAATAAACAACCTTGAGTTACAGGATTTGTTTCGATCTTTATACTCAACTTCAGTCGTCTTATTAAATTACGATAGACCTTTCTTAAAATTATTTATAATTTGAATCTTAGAAAGAATTTAATTTAAATTATAAATTATAAATTTTTTATTTATGTGAATAAATATACGTCAAATTATCTGTCTAAATAAATTGCTAAACATATTGCATCATAAAGGAAAAATACATATAATAAAAAGGAAGTGTCAGTTTTAAAATATTGCATATTTTTAATTTGTTAATTAATTATAAAAACGGTTTTAAACTGAAAATGAATTTAAATGAATGAATGAATGAATAAAACTGAAAAAACGCCTAATTTATTTGACTGGAGTGATTAATTTATGACTTTTTAAAAAATAACTCCATAAATAATATACAGTTGTCCCTTGATAATCCGACAGGTATGGGACCAAAGGTGTGTCAGATTACCAAAAGTGTCCGGATTACCGAAAATAATCACATATTTCGCATTGTTTTGCTAGCAGTAACAATGCGAAATATGTTCGAACACAACTGTTCGAACAGAACTGCTCACATAAAACACACGAAATGTGTGTCATCGTGTAAAAATTGGATGGGGAGATTCACATCGCGATATGCTTCTGTGCAAGCAGATACGTAACGGGGACGGGTACCTTGACTGGAGGTGCGTCGGACTACTGAGCATGTCGAATTAAAAAACGTCGGACTATAGAGGGACAACTGTATTTATTTATGCTATTAATCATTCTTAATGTACAGTACATTGATTGATTATTATTTTGTGTTATAGTCGTTTAATACAATAGAGCGTCGTTTATCCGAAGGTCGGTTATCCGAAACGTCGGTTATCCGAAGGAATTCCAGTCGACGAATTTAAATTTTCGCCAGTGCTGTGGCGTTGTAATCTTTGGCTATGTCTTTGGCTACTCAAATATTTTACGTTTTTGATACTAAATTAACTTCTGAAGTATAATTTTTTATTGTTTTTATATTTTTCAATATATTTATTTTGTTTGTACAAAATAAAAAAATAATTTTTAACGATACAATAGTCTTCGTTAGGCTTAACATTGACGAAAATTCAACGCGAAGCGACATGCAACGGAGAGAAATTTCAACATGGGATAAATTAATATATTTTTTCGTACATGATTCGTTATCCGAAAAATAAGTTATCCGAACCACCCCAGTCCCCAATTGATTCG